TGGGGGGGGGGGGGTGTTATAATATATTGTAAAGAGAGGGGGTGTGTTTTTATTTTTTTTGGGGCATAAACGCGGCAGTGGAGGGTCTTCTTTTCAAAAGAGAGACGCCCGCGGGTATACTCGGCGGGTGTCACATATTTTTTTTTTGTCCTCTCCTCCTCCCCCCCCGGTGGGGGGGGGCGTCTGACAACACCCCCCGCACTATTTTTTTTCTCTGGGAGACACACACACAACTTGGGCTGTGTCCCCAAACAGCGCGGCATTATTGGTAGAGCCTGTTTATCTTACTTGGTACCCGGATTCATTGCGGCACAAGCTCGCTTTACGGCGTAGTCAAACAGCAGACACCCCTCAACCGTCGACTGAAGCCAGCGGCACAATCGTCGGTCTGTCGAGTTCGTCCTACCACCACGCCGGTTTTGCCGTTTGTGTGTTGGTGTCGTTTCGACGTCAAAGGCTCGGGTGTGTGGCGATGGCTGGTGACTTGTTTGGATGAGTCAGCTCGCTGTTGGCGCTTGGATGAATAGATGAAGGCCAAACGTGCAATTCGATGCAAGAAGCGGGTGGTAGAGGATAGTGCAAGTGCATGCAAATGTGCTATATGTGAATGCGTGAATATATCGCGCGTGGGGGCGTCATAAATTCGTGTGGAAGTTGGAGGTTAGGTTATCGATTTGCTGGGCGCATAGCGCAGTGGTAGCGCGTCCGCTTTGCAAGCGGAAGGCCCCGGGTTCAATCCCCGGTGTATCCAACTCTTTGTTCGACTCACCTCCACTTGCACGCTGTGCTGGGGCGCCTACGACAACACCGCGCCATTATGCTTCTCCGCGAGGCAAACCATACATCTGGCTCTGTTTCCGACAGCTGCGCAGGACTACTGGTTAGGGCTGCTTAGCCTACCTCGTAGCCCGACTCATTGCGGGACAAGCTCGCTTTACGGCGTAGTCAAACAGCAGACACCCCTCAACCGTCGACTGAAGCCAGCGGCACAATCGTCGATCTGTCGAGTTCGTCCTACCACCACGCCGGTTTTGCCGTTTGTGTGTTGGTGTCGTTTCGACGTCAAAGGCTCGGGTGTGTGGCGATGGCTGGTGACTTATTTGGATGAGTCAGCTCGCTGTTGGCGCTTGGATGAATAGATGAAGGCCAAACGTGCAATTCGATGCAAGAAGCGGGTGGTAGAGGATAGTGCAAGTGCATGCAAATGTGCTGTATGTGTATGCGTGACTATATCGCGCGTGGAAGCGTCATAAATTTGTGTGGAAGGTAGAGGTTAAGTTATCGATTTGCTGGGCGCATAGCGCAGTGGTAGCGCGTCCGCTTTGCAAGCGGAAGGCCCCGGGTTCAATCCCCGGTGTGTCCAACTCTTTGTTCGACTCACCTCCACTCGCACGCTGTGCTGGGGCGCCTACGACAACACCGCGCCATTATGCTTCTCCGCGAGACAAACCATACATCTGGCTCTGTTTCCAACAGCTGCGCATGACTGGTAAAGACTGGCTAGGCTACCTCGTAGCCCGACTCATTGCGGGACAAGCTCGCTTTACGGCGTAGTCAAACAGCAGACACCCGTCGATGCTTTTCGACTTTGAGAATGAGAGTTTGTGACGAACACCTCTTCATTCTGATTGGTCGGTAAACCGAACCTAAGTGGGGGAGGATGTAACGGGGTACGTAGCCCTAAGTGTACCCTGGTTACATGAAGTGTGACACTTCACACTTCAGGAGTATGACACGTCATACTCCGAGATATTTGGTACAAGGTACCAAGGTCGTTCAAAGCCAACCATTGGTTAAATGACACTGCATTTCTATAGGTAACTAACAGTTTGTATTAAACCCAAACTTAATCTACCTATAAATATACTCAGTTTACAATCTACCTTATTTGGGTCACTTCGCTCTCTTTAATAAAAGAGGGGACCTGTGAACTGCCGTTCACTGAGAGTTTGTATACTCTCGGAAGATAACTTCCTCTTGCGCAAGGTGCTGTGTGACCCCGTCACAAGTAACCTGCTGAACCTGCAAAAGTGGCCGATCCAAAACAAAAAAACCGTCAGTAAAATCATTCTGAAGCGGTTAGTTGTGCATTTTTGAGCGGGCACTTATGTATTCTGATCTGGGTTCCTCATGTAGTGACGACTAACCTGTTGAACCAGCAAAACGACCGATTATAAAAGCAAATGCAGTCAGTAAAAAACAATTCAACCTACCAGTTGTGCAAGTTTAGTCGGTTTACCTTCGGTATCGTGCTGGACCCCTCCTGAACTGTCGGATCTGCAACGCCGGCGAACATTAATGCAAACAAGGCAGAAAAAACATTTCTAAGCTCTCAGTTGCGCAAGTTTGTATACCTTCGTCGGACCGCTAGACGATCTGAAATTTGTTGAACGTGTAAAAATAATGTGGCCGATCAAAACGTCAGATTAAGTCAATACCAAGGAAGTAGAGAAAATCACCACGAACCTTTAAATGTGGCGGCTGGTAGCCATGGTAATGTCCGTCACGAGCTCATCCACTTCAACGTCATGACTATCAGCATCGGTAAACGTGATCGTCCAAGTAACTGGCTTATTGTCAGCCTGAACGGAGGTCACTACACCACTGAAGCAGCTGATCTGGAACTCCTTTGGTGATTCAGGTAACGACGTTTTAAAGCGATGCAAGGATTTGTATCCGATAGCCTCGCTTGGGTATTTTTCCAGATGTCGTTTAAGCCGAGCCGTCGGTCCAGTCGAACGTGTGTCGTCACCTTCAGCAGCTTCGAGACTATCTCGAACAAGACAGCGGAGCTCCTTGCGTGGCCGTCCAGGGCGACGGCGGTGGGGGATTCCAGCTTGAATTTCGTCAATATTTAGGTGTTGCTTGATAGCCGCTGCTGCCAGTACATGCGAGCACACCCAACCCGACATGACGTAAGCCTTGCACTCACAGGAATATTTTTTACGGAAGAGTTGAGCCGTGTCGCTGTTCACCTTTGGCAAAGCTCGCAGCTTTTCAAACTTGATCTTGGCGCTTACACGGACACGATATAGTGATTGGTCTTGTGCCTTGTCGTACCTTCAAGCAAAATCTCAGTTTGTAAAAGTTTCCGTACTAGAAGTAGAACTTAAAAGCTTGAGAGGAGCAAAAAATACACGATCCAGGTAAAGTAAAACCTTGGATGAGGTGACACACAGTCCTCCTCCACAATTTCACTCGCGTTGGGGGTGCGCGGCCTTGAGATCCGTGGGCATTGCATTGATCCAGTGGACCACATCTGGTGGCAGCCGGTGGATTTCGTGGAGGTGTTTAAGCGTGGCGAATGTGCATCCTTCCACCGACTGGAGCCGAATGCAAACCTGCTCCCGGAA